GTTTTAAGACATCAGCACTGTTCTCTGTTTTAGGCCACCAGCACTGTTCCTTGTTTTAGGCCACCACCACTGTTCTCTGTTTTAAGACATCAGCACTGTTCTCTGTTTTAAGACATCAGCACTGTTCTCTGTTTTAGGCCACCAGCACTGTTCTCTGTTTTAGGACACCAGCACTGTTCTCTTGTTCAGGACACCAACACTGTTCTCTGTTTTAGGACACCAGCACTGTTCTCTTGTTTAGGACACCAACACTGTTCTCTGTTTTAAGACATCAGCACTGTTCTCTGTTTTAGGCCACCAGCACTGTTCTCTTGTTCAGGACACCAACACTGTTCTCTGTTTTAGGACACCAGCACTGTTCTCTTGTTTAGGACACCAACACTGTTGTCTTTTTTAGGACACCAACACTGTTGTCTGTTTTAGGACACCAACACATTCTATAAGGATATGTAAGGTAATGTACATGTATTAGTCCTTTGATGGTCAAACAAGGTGAACCTAGATGTAGTGACAGTATCTACCAGAGAGAGAGACCTGGTTCATTGAGCGGACGGTTCCTGGTGTTGACACTCTGTAAATATTGGATGGGAAATTCTTATGTTTCTGGTCATCATTAATCCAGCACCATTAAATGGAAGAGTGATGTTGAGTTTCCTCAAGTTTGAGAATACTAAAGGACAAGGTGTTGTGTTGTGGCCAGGAGGTCAGGTTTGGGACTACACTGGTATCTAGATGGCTTCTGAGAACATTTGATGTTGAGAGTTGATAACATTATAATCTGTGTTATAGTAGATGGTAAAATGATTCTAAAATAATTTGGATGTTACACTTTGTACATAGTAATGCCAGGTAGCTTTGTGGTCTGTGACTAGAAAGTCTGGTATGGGGACTGTAAAAATAGATTTGTGTTCACACATGAAGTAAAAAAAAATGGCATGTTTTTATAAAGCTAGGTCTATGAAAGGGATGTTTTCTAGTATGTTGACAAGATTAATGGTACAATAAATAGTATTGGGTCGAGGTTTAGGGGGATTACTGGCATTTCTAGTTATTTGCATTTCTCTCTTGTATAAGTTTTAATCTTTCAGGGGAAATTGCAGTTAAAAAATGTAGAGTTGAAATATTTATAACTTCTTTTTATTCTTGGTATGTAAAAATTTCATTATTTGACTTGGAAAATTGTAAATATGAAGGTTGTGCAGAAGAACCTGTGTGCAGATGGTCAGTGAGTCATTGGTATCGGACAAGGGGGAGATAACTTGTCAAGGTCACACTGACTTTTAAGATATGTCAAACACATGAAAAATCATCATACATCAATTTATCAGCCTTTCAGTGGGAAGATTTTGATGGTATTTATCAGATAGTCTGATTCATGTTTAATGTCGCGATATTGGTGAGTTTCTGGGATGTTGTGCATGTGTCTGTCGTGTCTAAATATACTGGGAATTACATGATTATATCTATTGTTTGATGTGTCTAATTATGTTCTATTATTCATTACTGGAGGTTGTAATGTTTAATCACTTAAGAGTTTAATATTCTTCCTTATCTTAGGTTCACCACTCAATAATCAAAGTTTAATCAGTGTCTGATAACACTATAAAATGAATTGTGCCTTTATATTTTTTCGTATCTAAGTGGATGATTTAATGTTTAAGTACCTTTATGACAGAAATAAATTGTTAATATATGTCATTTCATATACAGAAAAAAATACTTTTAACAAAAAATTGACAAGACCATAGAATTTAATAGGTCATAAACATGAAGTAAAATTTAATTTGATAATCTTAAGACAATCACCTGAGACAAAGTCTGTCTGTCTGTCCACTTGTTTTATTAGCCCACCATCATCAGATGGTGGGGTATTCAAATCGCCCTGCGTCCCTGGTCCGTCCGTCCGTCTGTCATCCGTCCGTCCATCCGTAAACAATTCTTGTTATCGCTATTTCTGAAAAAGTACTGGATGGATCTTTTTCAAATTTCATATGCAGGTTTCCCTTGGTCCCTAGTTGTGCATTGTACCTTTATTGGATTGATTCAAATTCAAGATGGCTGACAGGTGGCCTTCTTGGATTTTGGAAGTAAAAGTTTGTTACTGCTATTTAAGAGAAAGTACTGGATGGATCTTTCTCAAATTTCATATGCAGTTTCCCCTTGGTCCCTAGTTGTGCATTGTACCTTTTTTGGACTGATTCGAATTCAAGATGGCCGAAAGGTGGTCATCTTTGATTTTGGATGTAAAAGTTTGTTACCGCTATTTCTGAGAAAGTACTGGATGGATCTTTCTCAAATTTCATATGCAGGTTCCCCTTGGTCCCTAGTTGTGCATTGTACCTTTTTTGGACTGATTCAAATTCAAGATGGCCGACAGGTGACCATCTTGGATTTTGTATGTAAAAAGTTTGTTACTGCTATTTCTTGGAAAGTACTGGATGGATCTTTCTCAAATTTCATATGCAGTTTCCCCTTGGTTCCTAGTTGTGCATTGTACCTTCTTTGGACTGATTCGAATTCAAGATGGCTGACAGGTGGCCATCTTGGAGTTTGGATGTAAAAGTTTGTTACCGCTATTTCTTGGAAAGTACTGGATGGATCTTTCTCAAATTTCATATGCAGTTTCCCCTTGGTCCCTAGTTGTGCATTGTACCTTTTTTGGACTGATTCGAATTCAAGATGGCCGACAGGTGGCCATTTTGGATTTTGGAAGTAAAAGTATATTACTGCTATTTCTTGGAAAGTACTGGATGGATCTTTCTCAAATTTCATATGCAGGTTCCCTTTGGTTCCAAGTTGGCATTATACCTTTCTGGACTGATCCGAAATCAAGATGGCTGACATTCAGCCATCTTGGATTTTGAGAGTAAAATCTTGTTACTGCTATATCTGAGGAAGTACTGGATGGATCCTTCTGATATTTCATAGATATTGGTTTCCCTTGGTCCCTAGTTGTGTATTGTACCTTTTTTGGACTGATTTGAAATCAAGGTGGCCCACAGGCAGCCATCTTGGATGTCGACAGTAATACAGCACAAGCATATTGTCCATTATCCACCTGTAACTGACTGCTATCTAATAATACGTGGGATCTTTTTCAAATGATATTTGCTAATAGGTGCTTAATAAAAATATCTTGTGCCATCATTGAGTACATTCAATGAAGACCAGTTCATGAACATTTACAACACCTGTAACAAACAAAAAAAAAATAAACAAATCTTCAAGAACTGAAAACAGATCCTCAAATGGTGGGTGCCAAGATCCCTCTGGTCATTACTCCTTTTGTATGGGTGATGCTACAGAGCAAGGTACCTCACTAGTCAATAGGACATGAACCATGTTCAGTTTAAATAATATTCATGGAACCACAGACTTATCACCTGGTCAGGATTTACTGTGTGAGCACTGACCAGTATTAACCTTTTGACTTAATTGAGACAAGGGGTAAAATCAAAATTCAACATAGTACACCAGAGCAATTAATTTTATTTGTTGACAGTAGGTAAGGTTATCATCTCTGTCAGAATATACTGTAAGCATGCACTATCATGAGTCCTGATGAACTGTCATGGATGACCAGAACTCCACCTCCTCTATTTTTGGAGGTGAAACTTCCAAAATCTGTCATTTTGCCCACATGCTGATTTTGTCAAAACACCTCTCATAGGTTCTAATTTATTGCTTTGTTATCACACCGTAATGAGCTGAATGTAAGCAAGTCAAAGATCAACCATCTCTCTTGTGTTTGGAGGGAGACTTCTGTCCTACAATCCACCTCTGTCTAAATATATTACAATATTACACCATCACAGGCGGATTCTGAGCTTGTCAGGTGAATATAACTGTTCAAAACTTAATCTGGTGTCTCACAGGTGACTATATCAATCCAGTAACTTGTACTTAAATTTTCATCAATACAAAATAAGGATGATTAGCATATCTTGGGCTCAAAGAACATGACCTTTTCAATACATCCTCGTATCTGCATGAAAACAAGTAAATAATTGTACATTTATACCACTTAGTATAGACATGGATTCCACTCACTTAACAGTACATCTAAAATATCGCAGTAGTTTTTGCAGCAAAGACAAGCTCTACAGGGTAGATGGATGGCTATAACTGTTGTGTTCACTGACCAGCCTTTCCTTACAAAACCAGTCCGGACAGTAGGTCTCTCCTTCTACCCTGGATGGTTTATCTAAACTTATTATTACTAATCATAAAATACTCCGCTAGAATGAAGAGATTTGATTAAAACCTATCGTAAGATCTCTGGTTTAGGTCTTTGATATGAACACATGTAAGCTCTCCTTGGGAAATTCCATACTATATATATTTTGTAATGAGAAGTATTTTTTCTGTTTTTTGTAATTTTTCATTTTTCAGAATTTGTACGTGGTACAGAATAAAGAAAGACATTGAGAAGTTAAAAAATAAAAACAAAAGTCAGATACTGCACGATAATAATACAGAGTGTTTCTTCTTCATTAGGCATGTTGATGTAAACTGTTTTTTTATATATATAAAAAAAATTTGTGAAGTATTCACCCAGATATTAAGCCTAATGAAAACGATGATGAATGAATTTTAATTCGGTGCAGGTATCCCTGGCATAGGCCTTCACAGCTTAAGGGGGAGTTGTAGTCAGAGATGGTGTGATAAATAATGCAGGTATTACTGTGATGAACACAGCCATGCGATGAGGAGGCTGGACAGACAACAGCATCACTGACTGGGATACAGGACATACAGATATCCCTGACACAGCCACATGATGAGGAAACTGGACAGACAACAGCATCACTGACTGGTATACAGGACATACAGATATCCCTGACACAGCCACATGATGAGGAAGCTGGACAGACAACAGCATCACTGAAGCATCACTGACTGCGATACAGGACAGACAGATATCACAAACACAGCCACATGATGAGGAGGCTGGATAGACAACAGCATCACTGACTGGGATACAGGACAGATAGATATCCATGACACAGCCACATGATGAGGAAACTGGACAGACAACAGCATCCCTGACTGGGATACAGGACAGACAGATATCACTAACACAGCCACATGATGAGGAAGCTGGACAGACAACAGCATCACTGACTGGAATACAGGACAGACAGATATCACTATCGCAGCCAAACAATGAGGAAGCTGGACAGACAACAGCAACCTTGACTTGGATACAGGATTGACAGATATCACTAACACAGCCACATGATGAGGAAGCTGGACAGACAACAGCATCACTGACTGGAATACAGGACAGACAGATATCACTAACACAGCCACATGATGAGGAAGCTGGACAGACAACAGCATCACTGACTTGGATACAGGATTGACAGATATCACTAACACAGCCACATGATGAGGAAGCTGGACAGACAACAGCATCCCTGACTTGGATACAGGACAGACAGATATCACTAACACAGCCACATGATGAGGAAGCTGGACAGACAACAGCATCACTGACTTGGATACAGGATTGACAGATATCACTAACACAGCCACATGATGAGGAAGCTGGACAGACAACAGCATCCCTGACTGGGATACAGGACAGACAGATATCACTAACACAGCCACATGATGAGGAAGCTGGACAGACAACAGCATCCCTGACTTGGATACAGGACAGACAGATATCACTAACACAGCCACATGATGAGGAAGCTGGACAGACAACAGCATCACTGACTGGGATACAGGACAGACAGATATCACTAACACAGCCACATGATGAGGAAGCTGGACAGACAACAGCATCACTGACTTGGATACAGGACAGACAGATATCACTAACACAGCCACATGATGAGGAAGCTGGACAGACAACAGCATCCCTGACTTGGATACAGGACAGACAGATATCACTAACACAGCCACATGATGAGGAAGCTGGACAGACAACAGCATCCCTGACTGGGATACAGGACAGACAGATATCACTAACACAGCCACATGATGAGGAAGCTGGACAGACAACAGCATCCCTGACTTGGATACAGGACAGACAGATATCACTAACACAGCCACATGATGAGGAAGCTGGACAGACAACAGCATCCCTGACTTGGATACAGGACAGACAAATCACTAACTCAGCCACACGATGAGGTGGCTGGACAGACAACAGCATCCCTGACTGGGATACAGGACAGACAAATCACTAACTCAGCCACACGATGAGGAAGCTGGACAGACAACAGCATCCCTGACTGGGATACAGGACAGACAAATCACTACCTCAGCCACACGATGAGGTGGCTGGACAGACAACAGCATCCCTGACTGGGATAAAAGGAAATAAAAATTCTTAGTGTTGTAAGCTTTTAAGTGTATCTACCCTACAGTGACTAGTGATAGAAAGATGTGTGAACACCATGAAGATGGATAAGTCAGTATACAGTGACTAGTGATAGAAAGATGTGTGAACACCATGAAGATGGATAAGTCAGTATACCCTCTAGTTAATGTTAAAGGGATTATTAGATACTGTGGCTGGCCATTGTTGATATTATTACCTGTGACGGGTAGCTTCATAGTAACCACAGCGAGGATGTCACACAGATCTGCATTTTAGATAATAATGATCCGATACCTGTTAATTATAAGTTAAAGCATCGAAGGTTTGGAGGCCTTGGAGGATATTAAAGAATTATCTTATCCTCTTTTGAAAATTCAAACTTTTAATGAACACACTCCTGTAAGAAATTGTTTGAATTTGTAAATAAGGTTATTTTCAATTTCTGGAGTATTAGGCATGATAAGGGTTTTGAGACATTCTTCCTGCTGTAATATTAAATATGACTATAATGATGTCAAATACATCCTGTTTGAAAGGAAGCCAATAGAAGTAAAATTATGTTCCTTTAAATTGATCCTTATGTTCTGACAGTACTCCAGGTAACTTCCCTAACAGTGTCCTGATGTACACTCGTGGTGTTATTTTCCCGAAACACTTGCACTAATCTGGCCATATGGGCCCTTATCATTGGCTGTGTCTGCAACAAAAGAGGTCTCATCATCATTATCAATCCCTAGTGGTGTGTTGTAATGATAGCTTTGTGTCTACAGGTTGTTGTGGGTACACCGAGTTCAGGATACAGGGGAGGTCACTCGGGTTAGCTCACACACTGGTATCGTGTTGTAGTGACTTTGTCTCAGTTTCATTAAGAATCTGTATAATGTCCATTTAGAGTTCCTAGGTCTTTGTTTGAGTCACAGTCTTGTTGTTTTTTGATATGTGTTTGCTGAGTACAAGTTAAAACAACTGGTCTAGACTTGTGTTTGTATTGTATGACTTGATGTCCAGACTGGGTTAAATTGTAATGCAGACATTGTCCTCTGAATGAACTCTGATAAATGAGACAGCTGATGTACTTCTAGGTTATTAAAGTGAAATTGAATTTAGTTCTTTAACAGATGTCCTTGTTTATGCATGTTCTGTATCCCTGTATTGTGTTTGTGTCCTGTACCTTTGTGTGTAGGGTATGTAAAATTTACCCTTTGTGTGCATTTTACTTGCAGTAATGTAGACTGTATGTAAGATAGTTCATTGCAATCATTTGGTATCAAATGAAGATAAAACTGATAGTATCATTTACTGGCTCACTTGCCTTAGAGGTAAGGAAGCATATGCTGTAGCACTGCATCTGGTGTCCATTGTCATCATTTCTTTTAAATTACTTCTTCTTGAAAACCTAAAGCCCTTGGATACTGATATCTTGCCTTTAGCATGCAGGGATGAAGGGTTTCAAGTTGGTTTAAATGTTTGACCTTGACCCAAATCAAGGTCACAGGATAATTTTTTAAATCTTTAAACAACTTCTCAATAAGCATTGTAAGTTACTGATATTAGGCCTGTAGGATGCTAGGGCTACGGAACAAGTTTGTTCAAATTTAATGAACTTTACCCATTTTCAAGGTCACAGGAATCAAATATCTTAAAATCTTTGGAGAACATCTTCCCTAAAAACATGAGGCTGGAGGTACTGATCTTTGACCCACTTCCAATGTTAAAAGTTGAGGATAACCAATAGGCCTTAGCTCACATTGTAGCATGTTTCGGAAGTGGGATTTAGGTTTGCTGAACCTTCTTAATCTGCAGTTGAGCAATTCAGGCTCATTTGACATCTTGTTTTTGTGAGGCCATTATTTTGGTAAATTCCTGTTCAGTTCCCAGTAATGAATAAAACCATTTACATGTGGCTTCAGAAGAGTTCTGAGAAGCTGAAGGCTCTTGGCCTTTAGTTACGTATGCTTGGCATTTGAGGTAGTGCTTGATTGAACAGCAGAGAATTACTGATTCTTTGTGAAGTTATTGATCTATAGTAAGGTTATATTGTATCAGCACTGAGTCACATTTCTGGTATTCATTCCAGACTTGATGTCAGAAAACTATCACTAGTGAAATTTATCTTTTATTACTTAAAAACTGTCACTGAAAATGTGTACTCACACCTGTCACTGTAACCTCACACTCAAACCTGTCACTGTAACCCCATACTCAAACATGTTACTGTAACCCCATAATCAAACCTGTTACTGTAACATCATACTCAAACCTGTTACTGTAACATCATACTCAAACCTGTTACTGTAACCCCATACTCAAACCTGTTACTGTAACATCGTACTCAAACCTGTTACTGTAACATCATACTCAAACCTGTTACTGTAACCCCATACTCAAACCTGTTACTGTAACATCATACTCAAACCTGTTACTGTAACCCCATACTCAAACCCGTTACTGTACTGTAACATCATACTCAAACCTGTTACTGTAACCCCATACTCAAACCTGTTACTGTAATATCATACTCAAACCTGTTACTGTAACATCATACTCAAACCTGTTACTGTAACCCCATACTCAAACCTGTTACTGTAACCCCATACTCAAACCTGTTACTGTAACCCCATACTCAAACCTGTTACTGTAACATCATACTCAAACCTGTTGCGGTATACTTGTACTCAAACCTGTTACTGTATACTTGTACTCAAACCTGTCACTGTATACTTGTATTCAAGCCTGTTTATGTATATTTGTACTCCAACCTGTTATTTCAAATGTATATATTATGCAGTACTTTGATTTGATCACAAATGTGCACAGATGATTCAGAATTGACATTATCTGTGATTAGTACTTGTGTTTTTTTACTTAGCATAATATTGATACAAAACTAGTGACATTCAAATCATGTAAACAGTGTGTAAACAAAGTCACTAATAACAGTCCAAATATTGTGACTAGAAATGCCAGACAGTGCAGGTACTATTTGTCCAGTTGGTAGTGTCATACACAGTGTTTGATTGAAGTATGTCTGACTGTGAATGATGAGCTGGGGGCACAGGGGCTGGAGAAGCTGTCAGAGCTCATACCTGTCCTCGGGCAAAACAGCTGATAGGCGCTTTCTAAACATGTGTAATATGTTGTATGTTTTAAAATCATATTACTTGTGCCTTGTAAGCTCTACATGATGCCACAAATCTTATAACAATTTCAGATGTCACCTTTGAGAACACCCAACATTTTGGTGACTTTGAGCATTTCATCATGTCCTTAGCTAGGAATTATCATTTTCAGAAAAAAATGTTGGTTGTCACTAAGCAAGGAAAAGACCTACTAGATATTAAAACCTCAGTGAGAACTCACTAGGTGGCTGGTAGATTGAGGTTCTTTAGTATATACCTTGTAGATAGGTATTAGATTCCTTGTAAATGAATGATGTACATTATGTTATTGTTACAACACAGTTAAAGCTTTAACACTCTAACAATTCAGTGCTGTCGTAAAGAGTGTAAGGTCATGTTGGGTGTTGTGACAAAGCATAGCTGTAAATATCTATATAACCGTAGATTGAGGTGTAAAGGGATACTTAAGTAAATACACTTGAAATAATGGTATATCAGCTGAACACACCTGTATACAGGTAAAAAGATTGTCAACTATTCCCAGCATGCTTGACCATTGACCTGCGGGATTATTTGATGACCAATGATGACCGGTGCACTGCAGGCTATAGTATTGGTCAAGAGTTAGGTATGGTCTATGGTGATAGGTAATGATCAGCTGTATGTAGCTGTAGGCAGTTTGTCTCACTCCACTAGCTGGATAACATCTCTATAGCACCAGTACTGCTGGCCAGGTATACACAGGGATTGTGTGGCAGACATCACAGTTATATGGTCAGACTTGTTTCCTGTTATTTTGGTGTGACTTCAGTTATCCTGATCTGTTACATATAGCACACTACCTCTTGTTTTCTGTGTGACTACACATTTTTTGCAATTTGAAGGTATTCAACCTTTGGGATTTAAAAAAGAAGTGCTACATTCCTGTGGTTGGGAATTATCATCTGAAGGTAAGTTATTTACTCACTGATATTTTCAGTAGATTTGTTGCTTTACTTCTTTATTTATTGAACAAGTTCAGTTTCCACTATTACAGTGTTTTAGAGGGGGATTAAGAAGAGAAGAAACAGACAGTGGGTATACATATGTATGTGACTTACTGTGTGGATTCTTTACTGTATAGAAACATGTTATGATGTCACTGATTGGTCAGCTGACACAATAATGTTTCAACCATCAATCACTTGTCACATTGTAATGACATAAAAAATGTTTCGGTCTTTCCTGACTCACCAAAAAATAACTTGTCAATAGTATGATTATTTTTGACATCTGTCTGATGATTCCAACTGTTGATGTAAAAAATATATTGTATTTTTTATTTAACACGTGTCCGATTATTTCAACACTGAAGTAATATATGGTGTATAAAGCCAAAATTGTTATAAACATGACTAGATTGGCCTGATCTGCTGCTTTCTGATGTAAAGGTTTCATTTGATTTGTCGTCTCACTTTGGAATTAAGAAATGACTTGCGAGTTTTTATAATTTTTTGGAGATTCCATCTATACAGTGTAGATCTGGTAATGATTATAGTGGGTCGAGAGATTTGTCTACGTTGTCATTGATTTGTTTCTTGTCAGCTGTACTTCCTGTAGAGAAACCTAGTTAATTTAATTCTATAAATCTATATATGTACATGTTGAAGTCAAGAATGTTTGTGACAGCTGAGACTCCAGGTATGGCTTC